GCCATCATTCTCCTTTGTTATTCTCCGTCTTAGGTTACGCCATCATACCTCTTTCTACTTCTCCGTCTTAGGTTACGCCATCATACTTCTTTCTACTTCTCTGTCTTAGGTGACGCCATCATACTTCTTTCTACTTCTCTGTCTTAGGTTACGCCATACATTCTTCTTTCTAATTCTCCGCCTTATGTAATGCCATCATTCTCCTTTGTTATTCTCCGTCTTAGGTTACGCCATCATTATTTTTTGTACTTCTCCGTCTTAGGTTACGCCGTACATTCTTATTTCTACTTCTCCGTCTTAGGTTACGCCATCATTCTTCTTTGTTATTCTCCGCCTTAGGTTTAGTTATCATCCCTCTTTCCTGTTTTTCGTCTTATATTACGCCATTATTCTTCTTTCTTATTCTCCTTCTTAGGATACGCCATCTTTTGATTCTGCGTCTTAGGTTATGCCATCATTCTTCTTTCTACGTCTCCTTCTTAGGTTATGCCATATGCTATTCTTTCTACATCTCTGTCTTAGGTTACGCTATCATTGTTCTTTGTTATTCTCCGCCATAGGTTACGCCATCATTCTTCTTTCTACTTCTCCGTCTTAGGTTACACCTTAATCTTCTTCGCCGTCTACGGTTACGCCTTCATCTCTTGCGTCATCTTTCTTCTTTCTTATTCTCCGTCTTAGGTTACGCCATCATTCTTCTTTCTTCGTCTCCGCCTTATGTTACGCCATCATTCTTCTTTCTTCTTCTCCGCCTTATGTTACGCCATCATTCTTCTTTCTTATTCTCCGTCTTGGGTTACGCCATCATTCTTCTTTCTACTTCTCCGTCTTAGGTTACGCCATCATACTTCTTTCTACTTCTCTGTCTTAGGTTACGCCATACATTTTTCTTTCTACTGTTTTCATACTGTTTTCTCCTTTACCTTCATGGTTTCAACATCATATAAACTTTGCATGTGCGATGTAGGATTCTTGTGACGTCATCCGTTGATTTGCTTTCATCTATGTGCGTGAGCTGTTTTTTGGCATGTGAGATGTGTCGTCACATCTCGCCCTCCCAACACCCGGCGGTCGATCCTGTTAAGACGGCTGTCGAGACTTGATAATGATATGAGCGGTGCTATAACAAGTGTAGAACTTCCCTAGTTCCAGTAAGTTGGAACTGTGCCACTGAATGCTCAGTGAGTCGGGTGAGCGGTATAGGGCGATACTCCAGTGAATCGGAGAAATGAGCTTGCAGTGTCCCACGGTGAGTCGGGAAATGGATGCTGCGAGGGTAAGTGCGTATAGTGGCTGGCGTCTGCGTTGACGGGAAGAGTGTGCAGATGTGTTGTGCCTAGACGCTGGTGAGGCCGTAGGGAAGAACCAGACTGCACATCTTCGTTGCAGACGATGGTGGTCCCTGATAAGGCCGAGGATGCTGGTTGGCTGCGACTTTATTACCACTCAGCCGAGAAGTGATGGATGAGAGGGATGGCGATAAGGATAACGGTGCTGAGCTTCTCCGTGGAGTGAAGGTTGCTTCCAATCCCGTCAAGGTCACCACTTTAGGGAACAGAGTGAAAAGTTCCCTAAGATTGGAAAAGGAGGATCCTCCGACCAGGCGAGGTAATCGTGCCTGGCGAGCTTTCTGCCCAACAGTTGTTGATTCTTGTGACGCCATCCGTTGATTTGCTTTCATCTATGTGCGTGAGCTGTCATTTGACATGTGTGGCCACACTGTTTTCTCCTTTACCTTCATAGCTTCAACATCATACTGCCTACTCCTTTACCTTCACGGTTTCAACATCATACTGCCTACTCCTTTACCTTCATGGTTTCAACATCATACTGCTTTCTCCTTTACCTTCATGGTTTCAACATCATACTGCTTTCTCCTTTACCTTCATGGTTTCAACATCATACTGCTTTCTCCTTTACCTTCATGGTTTCAACATCATACTGCTTTCTCCTTTACCTTCATGGTTTCAACATCATACTGCTTTCTCCTTTACCTTCATGGTTTCAACATCATACTGCTTTCTCCTTTACCTTCATGGTTTCAACATCATACTGCTTTCTCCTTTACCTTCATAGTTTCAACATCATACTGCTTTCTCCTTTACCTTCATGGTTTCAACATCATACTGCTTTCTCCTTTACCTTCATAGTTTCAACATCATACTGCTTTCTCCTTTACCTTCATGGTTTCAACATCATACTGCTTTCTCCTTTACCTTCATAGTTTCAACATCATACTGCTTTCTCCTTTACCTTCATGGTTTCAACATCATACTGCTTTCTCCTTTACCTTCATGGTTTCAACATCATACTGCTTTCTCCTTTACCTTCATGGTTTCAACATCATACTGCTTTCTCCTTTACCTTCATGGTTTCAACATCATACTGCTTTCTCCTTTACCTTCATGGTTTCAACATCATACTGCTTTCTCCTTTACCTTCATGGTTTCAACATCATACTGCTTTCTCCTTTACCTTCATAGTTTCAACATCATACTGCTTTCTCCTTTACCTTCATGGTTTCAACATCATACTGCTTTCTCCTTTACCTTCATGGTTTCAACATCATACTGCTTTCTCCTTTACCTTCATGGTTTCAACATCATACTGCTTTCTCCTTTACCTTCATGGTTTCAACATCATACTGCTTTCTCCTTTACCTTCATGGTTTCAACATCATACTGCTTTCTCCTTTACCTTCATGGTTTCAACATCATACTGCTTTCTCCTTTACCTTCATGGTTTCAACATCATACTGCTTTCTCCTTTACCTTCATGGTTTCAACATCATACTGCTTTCTCCTTTACCTTCATGGTTTCAACATCATACTGCTTTCTCCTTTACCTTCATGGTTTCAACATCATACTGCTTTCTCCTTTACCTTCATGGTTTCAACATCATACTGCTTTCTCCTTTACCTTCATGGTTTCAACATCATACTGCTTTCTCCTTTACCTTCATGGTTTCAACATCATACTGCTTTCTCCTTTACCTTCATGGTTTCAACATCATACTGCTTTCTCCTTTACCTTCATGGTTTCAACATCATACTGCTTTCTCCTTTACCTTCATGGTTTCAACATCATACTGCTTTCTCCTTTACCTTCATGGTTTCAACATCATACTGCTTTCTCCTTTACCTTCATGGTTTCAACATCATACTGCTTTCTCCTTTACCTTCATGGTTTCAACATCATACTGCTTTCTCCTTTACCTTCATGGTTTCAACATCATACTGCTTTCTCCTTTACCTTCATGGTTTCAACATAATACTGCTTTCTCCTTTACCTTCATGGTTCAAATTTTCTTTTGTTTCTCATGGTTTGAATTTTTTAACTTCTATGAATTCACTTTTTCTTCAACAGTTCAACATTATACTGCGTTCTATAGACAGCTTTCATTTTTAAGTTTCAATTGAAAATTAGTTTGCTTTTTTTTACATTATTCTTTCATTTTATGAATTCTAATAAAGAAAATACCATCTAGTTTTTAGTCGCCTCTTACGACACCCACGAGGGACTGAGGTGGTGGTATTCTCTCCGACCGGCCACCACACGGCACTGCACCGTGTGTGTCGTGTCCTGTACTCGGTGTCACATATTTGATGGATGAATTCGTTTGAAAATATTATGGGCACAAGTTCTTTCTTCGAAATGGAGGCGTAACTTTTCCGCAAGTTTTCTAGCACGACTAGATTGCTAGGTTGTTTAAGCCATCATCGGACGTCTGGGGTTAACTTCTAACTGTAATGTAGTGTATACGGGAATATGCTACCAAATGCCACCACCTTTATCAGTTCTTTCCATCCGGGCTTAAGCGGCTGGAAAGGACACGGTAGGGGTTGGATCCCTGTGTTGCCCAATTTCTTCAAGCGAAGTTACCATACATGTAGTCCACCCAGCACATACTGTGGGAGTGTGGTCTTTGGCACTATGAATGTAACACTACGTTTATAGAGCTAATTATTCGTCAGGTGTAGTTTATTATACGGACCTTGTGGAATTTGAAACAAGTTTCCGTTTTTGTCATTCCTATTATTGGACGCAGGTATAACAGCTTACACATAGGGTACACTCAGCTTTTAATCAAATTTCCGTGGTGCTTGGCGACTGGGCTTCTTTCAGTTGTGGAGTCACTTTTTGTACCTTTAGGCTTAAGTCTCCTGCATTATGAATTCACCGAGAGAAGTAGAAACAATTGTTATTTTCCTCTCCTCTTATAATATCTTCTGATTTGTTTCGTTGTAGGATTCAAGACAATTATTCACGTACCTGGGACGCACCGGACTTCAGAACTCCGGTGTTTTCACGGTTGTAACTACTGTAGATCCTGGCTTACAGAAGTTGCAGCTGTTTCGGGAGGTCGTGGCGGGCTTGTCCCATTAGGAAAGAAATATCTCCTTCTTCTACTCGTATGAGTTCAGTTTCCAATCTGTAAAAAAGAATAGGTTATAAATTGTACATAATAATGGTAACATAATTTTTAAATTCATTAAATTATTATTTACCTATATTTTGAATGGGTTAGGTAGCCTCTTTCATTTTGTATTATCTTCTGATTTAATCTCCATCTCGCTTCCCATACACAATCAAATACTTCGATGTGGCATCGAACTCTTCTCCAGCTGCAAAAAAAATACAGTTGTTTATGCATATACTCGTATTTTTAATAACTTAGTCGAAAAATCTTGTAATAACGGAAATACCTTGTAATATCCTTTGCTCTATTCTTTCCCTTCTCCTTCCCTTCCCTCCCCACTCCGTTTACTTTCCTCTCTGTGCAATGTTATGTGTTTACTTTTGTTACAGCCAGGTGACGAGATCAAAATCTGTTTCCTCCCACGGCATCGCCACGTATTTTATCTGAGCTGTGTTTAAGTTGTACAATCTCAGGTCTCTTAGTCGCCTCTTACGACACCCACGAGGGGATGGGGTGGTGCTATTCTTTCCGGCCGGCCACCACACGGCACTGCACCGTATATGTCGTGTCCTGTACTCGGGACATGGTGTCATAAATTTGATGAATGAATTCTTCTGAAAATTTTATGGGTACAGCTTCTTTCTTCTTCTCCTTCTATGTGTACAACTTCTTTCTTCGAAATGAAGGCGTAAATTTTCCGCAAGTTTTCTAGCATAACTAGATTTCTAGATTGTTTAAGCCATCAATGGACCTTTGGGGTTCCACTTCTAATTGTTTGGCAGTGTAGATGGGAATCTTATACCAAGAGCCACCAGTCACCACCTTTACCAATTCTTCCCATTCGTGCATAAGCTGCTAGAAAGAACATGGTAGGAGTTGGATCACTGTATTGCCCTATTTCTTTCTGGCCTTGGCAACTTTAAAAGCAAATTGTTCTCATTTCAACTTGTTGATCGCTGTGGGGCCAAGTGCCAATATTCGACAGCGAAGTTAGCATACAAGTAGCCCGCCCATCACGTACTATGGAAGTGTGGTCTCTGGCACTATGAATGTAACACTATGTTGGATGGAATTAATTATTCGTCAGGTCTAGTTTGTTATACGGATCTTGTGGAATTTAATACAAGTTTCCGTGAATTTAGGCGTTTTTGTCATTCCTATTATTGGACGCAAGTATAACAGTTCACACATAGGATCCACTTAGTTTTTAGTCAAATTTTCGTGGTGCTTGGCGACTGGGATTGTTCCGGTTGTGGAGCCTCTATTTATGCCTTTAGTCGTATGTCTGTCTCCTGCATTATGAATTCACCGAGGGAAGTAGAAACAACCGTTATTTTCTTCTCCTCTTATAATATCTTCTGATTTGTTTTCTTGTGGGATTCAAGACAATTATTCATGTCCCTGAGACGCACCAGATGTCAGAATTCGGGTGTTTTTATGGTTGTAGCTACTGTAGATCCTGGCTTACAGGAGTTGGAGCTGTTTCGGGAGGTCGTGGCGGGCTTGTCTCATTAAGAAGGAACTGTTTTCTTCTTCTGCTCGTATGGGTTCAGTTTCCAATCTGTAAAAATAAAATAGGTGATAAATTGTACATAATAATGGTAACATAATTATTAAATAATTCATTAAATTATTATTTACCTATATTTTGAATGGGTTAGGTAGCCTCTTTCATTTTAATAGTTGTATTTTCGTCTGATTTAATCTCCATCTCGCTTCCCTTACACAATCAAATACTTCGATGTGGCATCGAAATCTTCTCCAGCTGCAAAAAAAAATTCAGTTGTTTATGCATATACTCGTATTTTTAATAACTTAGTCGAAAAAACTTGTAATAACGGAAATACCTTGTAATATCCTTTGCTCTATTCTTTCTCTTCTCCTTCCCTTCCCTCCCCACTCCGTTTACTTTCCTCTCTTCTTGTCAGCTGCGGGTCACTCAATCAAGCTACGTTTACAGGTTTCACTGGCAATGTTATTAGTTTACTTTTGTTACAGCCAGGTGACGAGATCAAAATCAGTTTCCTCCCACGGCATCGCCACGTATTTTATCTGAGCTGTGTTTAAGTTGTACAGTCTCAGGTCTCTTAGTCGCCTCTTACGACACCCACGAGGGGATGGGGTGGTGCTATTCTTTCCGGCCGGCCACCACACGGCACTGTACCACTGTACTATATGGCCAATTGACTAATCTGAAACAATATACAGATAACATTTATTATAATTATATGTTTAACAAAATGAATTATTGACAAAATGTTATAAACTTTTAACGCAACATATCCAAGACGTTACAATTTTTTAATAATTCTGCTAAGAACTCGTTATGTCATACGTCTCCTACCACTTGCAGCATTTCTAATATTAAAATCAAGAGTAATCAAATCCGATGGTTGAGTCTATGTAAACAAGTCCAAGTTCACAGCCCTTTGTTCATCAAACCAACTTATATGAGTCAATGATTATACTTTGAAACAACTACCTATATTAGATGTCATTTTTTAACCAGATGATCAAAAGTTTGTTTCTTATTAATTTAAGAAGAAACAATAACATTATCAGAGCGTCTCTCAGTCCCTAGTGCGTTGTATAAAGAAACAATTCAACACTAAAACATACACTATCTGTCACCAACTTACCAGAGACACAAGCGGATAGACCTTTACTTGAAGTTCGGATTTAACTGTATCCAAACAACGTTTCCGAGGCTCTGAAACGTTCAAGTTGTTGTTCGTGAGTTGATGTTCACTAATCTTCTAAACTCAGCTTGTCTCGTTCTGTAAACACTACGTTGTCATTTAGCCGATTGACTGAGAGGTCGTCCAGGTTGTCGCAATAGATTCCGTAATCCGAAGTAGATCTCACTCAACCGCGTCTAACTGTGGAAAAATTGAATATATGTAAGACGACACGGTTTTATATGACTTCGGAAACAAATTATTTCACTGTATCACTTTATCAGGTCTTACCGGTGGCTGCTTCTGTTAGATATTAAAATGCTGTCAGCAAGACGGCGTCGTTTCTCTGATTCCTACACCGGAAAAAACATATTTCTGATTAGTATGTGATTGATACACGAAAATAAATAGGATTCATCCTTACCTGAAGTCCTGGGGTTAGCAAGCTAATACCAAGGATACGGACGTTAAATGAAACGATTCTTTACTTACACTAACACGTATGTTTTATATATGGAATATTAGCCAGTGTTTAATATAATGTAAGCGGAGAGCCATATGCATTAGTGTTAAGTAAGTATACAAGACATTGCATTTCATAAGTTTGCTATCAAACGTATCCTGGTACAGACAAAATTCATATGATTTATCAGTTACATTTTGTCATTACATTCTGAACCAAATACACAAACCATTCAAACCCGATTGACAGTGGAGCCATTGTTCACAGCATACGCTTTAAGGATCATTTATTAAAAACAAGCGTAATTTGTCTTAACTTTGTCACCACTATGTTAGCAATAAAATTGCTGAAGCAGTCGACAAAGTTAGGAACATGTTACGAATCAATTCTAAGTTACCATAATAATCGACGCTAAGGTAGCTTGAATCAGAGGTCAAATGGTCTGTATCTTTGTAATAAAAATGACTGACACCCCCTTGGATGCCAGGAAATTTTTGATTGTCTCTTATTTTACCGATAGTTTTATTGACAATTTGCTATCATTTTACATTATTCTGTATGCACCAACAGGAAAAAGTTTAAAAAAACAGCAAACTTAATTTCGTAACACCTCACATACCCACTTAGTTACTTATAGACTAAGATTACAATATGATATAATATTTCGTAAGGTGATATTATAGGTTAGGTTACATTCATGATTAATATTAATTAATCCTACTAAGAAAAAACGTCTAATACATTTTGGCTGTTCTGCGCAGCGATTCAATTTACGACCATAATTTGTAAGTTACAAGAACAAATTATATTTTCTTAAGTTAGTTACTCTTGTTGTTGAAGCTAACATTATGTAAGTATATTTCTTACAAGGCTTCAATTTATTTTACTACGTTGCTGCTCCAGTCTACTGCGTAGCACATTACATTTGGCCACAGCGTTCAAAGCAACGTGAGCAATATCAAGAGCAATAATTATAATCCTGTAGTCCGAACATTACACATCTTCTTCAGAAGTACGTTCTGAAGACCGTTGTCATATAAATAATGATTGCGCATATCCAATGGCGCGGTGGTAAGTTTCTCTAGTACAATTTACGTAACGTCTCTACCAAAAACAATGTCAAGATGAATCATTTACTTTGATGTGGTGCTCACGAAGAGTTAGGCATTTTCTTGGGAGTCGTACGTTCTCATACACAGACGTATCACAGTCTGCTAGTGCGTTATGCGAAGGAACAAACCAACACTAACACAGATACAATGTCTGCCACCACAGACATTTGGATGTCCCACATTCACTTTAAGTTTGGATTTAACTGTATCCAAAAGAAGTTTCCGATGCTCTGAAACGTTCAAGTCGATATTGGTGAGATGACACTCACTAAACTTGTAAACTTAGCGTGTGTTGTCATTTATCCGATAGGTCGTCGAGGTTGACGCAATAGATTCCATAATCCGAGGTATAAACGGCTGTGGAGAAAGAAATAAAATACAGACATTGCTTTCCAAATAATCGTATTCTATTATTAGTTACAATACTTACCCTCGGTGAGAATTTCAATTTTGGGAAGGATTTTTCTCGAGGCAGATGCAGGGCACGGTGAGGTAGGTCTGGAAATAGAAATATCGTCTTGACTTAACACGAAAGAGAATGAAGTCCTACTTTATCCTTTGGTAACCTTAAAATTACTGAGTTAAGATAGAAACGCACGTAATCTAACTAATACCCTATTTTTAAGGGGGAAAATCATCGAATGACTTCTCGAGCCTGGGTGATCCGGGCGTGTCAAACTCTCACAGACTAAAAACCACCCCATTCCTACTCCTGCACTTCTAGCCGGAGCCCCGGTAACCCGTTGGGTTCTCCACGGTTATCTAATACCCTTAAACGAGCAATTCTTGCTTATTATATAATCCATAGATTTTCCTGAATTTTTATATTTAGGAGGTTTCGGTGGCGATTAAGTAATTGATCTAGCTAAGTGTTTTCATTGGATAAAAAACCTTATCATAGAGGTAGAATACGAAGTGAAATGCCATGACATATATTGACAAAATAGCTTCGTCGGTAAATCCGATGCCTTCTATTACACAGTTTCATCCTCGGTGCGATCGTTTCATTTATATTTCTATTTTTTTTTAATCTTTTTGATAAATTTTTATCTATGTTTTCTTTTACTTTCTATAAAAATGGGTACTAAAAATAATTATTTCATCTAGGTATAGGTACTAACGTGTAAACGACACTTAAAAATGAGAAACTTACCTAGTCCGGGATAAGTATAGGCCTTCTCGTCAGGAGCTTTCTTTAGCGTTTTGCGTGGAGTGGCTTTAATTTAATCTGCACTGAAAGAAATAAGCTTTTACTAATTGGTCACTATTTTAGGGAATAGGATGAGCTGCAAAGGAATCAATTTACTATGAGGTGAATAAGTTAAGTAAATTAACATTAACAGACACGTCTGTCGAGTGCTCACGTGTGAACAGGACATTTTCGATTTTCCAATAATTTCTCAGTCAGCAAGAAGTTCGGAATTTGTGTCCAGAGTAAATCAATATGGCGCCTAATACATGACACTCCTAACTCAAGTGGTGAAAAGTGGTGAAAAACGGATGTTACATTGTACTCATATTGTTGTGTGAGTTCTCGTATTCAGGGGTGGCAAATGGTAGTGTTATCTTTGTATAAATATATGTAGTAAATAAACGAAAATGGGAAAAAATGCAAAATATTATTTTCAGTATTGGAATATCATTAGTTCTTTTCTTCACCACTTTTTACTTTTTTCTATGATTGTGATTTCTATGATGTACCAAGAGTTACCATACAAAATTTAGATCCTTACTTATTTACTGTACCTGCATTCCACTCTCTCCGTTTAGCTATTTAATTCTATATAACCTAGTTACTTAAAGTAGCAATCAAAGGAAATAAAAAATATTTATAGATTCCCTCTATAAATATTATAGCAAAATAAATAAACATTTGGAAGGTAAGTACTTAAACAGAGAAAACGGGAAAGTAGGAAAAATGATAGATACTAAATCCAAAGGAAAAGTATTATAAGTGTAAGTATGGGTATAGTATAGGATCAAAGTATCGGCATATAAAATTAACGAGGATCAAAAAAATAGACGTAAAGAAAGTAAATGTAGAAGAACCTGAAATCGTTAAAAAAGTGTTGTATTATTTTACGAGAGACCGGATTATATACAGTATGTAACTGTGTATGTAATGTACCTTATATGTAACTGTGTGTGTCTAACGATAATAATGTCTTATATTTATAGCAAGTTTAGATTCAAGGCCTCACACCTCTGTAAAATTTCAGTAAATACATTTTGTTAAAATATCTCTGTTAATATCGGTATTTTTTTAACGGGGGAAAGTCATCGAATGACTGCTCCCGCCTGGGTGAGGCGGGAGGGGCTGTCAGACTAAAAACCACCCCGTTCCTTCTCCTGCACGTCGAGCCGGAGCCCCGGTAACCCGTTAGGTTCTCCGCGGCGTTAATATCACCGTTTGCCAATAATCCCGACTTTAGAATTTGTCGGTAAATACGTCTTAAGCACGTTTCTCCTGTAATGGTGTCTGACTGAAAATGATTTTGCTCTCTAAAATCGTTATTGTGCTTATATTAGCACATCAAAGATGCTTATTGCTCAGTGCATATTTAGTATTTTTATTAATATTTTGACTTTATATAATCCGGTCTCTGATTATTATACGCGTAACCTACCTAAAGATTAATGGCGCAACACTTGTGGGCGTGCGCCGCGAGCCAAGCGGTGGCGGCCCGCCGTCTCCGGTGCGCGGTCGCGGTCAGCCGCGGCCAGCGCCACCGGAAACAAAACGGACCACATGTCACTCTGAGGCGACAGTGAACGTAACACCACGCAAGATTGGTTTGTTACATTCACCTTATTATCGTGGACTATGATGCACCACCCTCCCGCAGCGCTCGCAGGTCTTCCAAGTTAACGTTGTCGCTCTCCCGACGTCAAGCAAGGCCATCTGTTTTAACAGAGCGTCTATGTGAAATTGTATAATCCAATTAGACCAATGTAACTAATATTAACTAGGTCCTCGTAGGTCGTGATGCTTGCAAGTGCGACTGTTGGGCTAGGAGTTCAAATTCGATCCCAGGTCGAACAAAGTATTACTGGGTTTGTTTTAGTTCTTAGAAAATTTCTCAGTAGTAGTATGGAATCTGAAATCGTGCCTGGTATATGGCAATTGGCTTACCATCTATGACATGGGACTTATAACATTAATGGTCAAAATGTACATTGTACAATCACATTCGTGCCATAATGTTACCTACCTACCTACGTCTTTGGTGATAACAGGCGTCTTTTGCAATGAGTTTGAAATCTTGATTTTTTTCAATTCTCTTTTATGTTTTACCACTTTTATAGTAACTATTACTGACTGCCTCGTGGGCCGAGCGGTCGCAAGTGCGACTGCCGAGTGCCGGGCAAGGGGTCTCAGGTTCGATTCCCGGGCCGGGCAAAGTATTAGTGGATTTAAAAAAAAAAAAAATGTAGTAGCACGGTGTCTGGAAATGTGCCCGGTATATGGCAATAGGCTCACCCTCTACTACATGGGACTCATAACATAAATAGTGAAAAGTGGGTGTTACTTCTGTGTGCACCTCTGCCTACCCCTTCGGGGATAAAAGGCGTGATTTTATGTTATGTTATATTATAGTAACTATTAGTGGTTTCATTAATACACCTGTACATTTTTATATCCATACTGTAGAAATACCTACTTAAAATTAAAAAATAACTTACGACCACCGGCATGTTGTTGAGTAACTTGGTTCTGTTGACGTGGTGCACGCGCGATGCACGTGGAGGAGATGCTGTGCAGTTGCCCACTGGAGATGTAAGCTGTGATGATAAGCGTGTGTCCTAAGGCTCAACGGGCATTAAACACACTAAACAAAATTATTATATTGATGAAATTATTAAACCATTGAATTACTACATATTATAATTAGCGCCGGTTTCAACACCTCCATATAAGTACCTGATAAACTTATGTGACAGATAGTTCATATAAATTGCGTTCTTAATTCGAATTTATCTGGTAGACAGCGGCTATCCAGATATTGTGAAACAGGCCCTAAATACAATATTAAATAATATAATATAAATGATTTGCCTTACCTTGTAAGTGATACAACGCGAGAGAGAGCTGTTTGCGGATGATACTATGTTATTGTCCAGTAGATTCTAGTATATTTTCAGGTATAACTCTAGACGCTAAGCTTCAATGGGGTCCACATATAGATGAGCTATCGAAAAGGCTCAAATCTACAGCATATTCCGATAAAAAAAAATATTTAACCGATGTAGATACAGCCGACTAGTAGGTATACTTTATTTTAGTTATTTTCATAGTATCATCATGTCATATGGTAATCTTCAAGTGAAACATGTGAATTTATTTCTGCAAATAGGCTACAATTTTTAATCTTAGTCCGAGGCACTGTCTCATGCCGGAATACTGAAACGTCACTCAATTTTAAGTCGTGCTTAAATATCGTGCCATCTCTGTCATTATACAAAGAATTTGTAGAGACAGAACTATACTTGAGCACGACTTAAAATTGAGTAGCGTTTGAGTATTTCGACATCAGAGAACTATTTAAATAAATGAATATAATGACTGACATTTCCTGAGTTATGACATTTTCATAAATGTATGGAGAGGTAATCTATACTATTATTATAAAGCTGAAAAGTTTGTTTGTTTGAACGCGCTGATTTCCGAAACTATTCGTCCGATTTGAAAAATTCTTTCTGTGTTGGATAGGCCATTTATCGAGGAAGGCTATAGGCTATATATATAAAACATCACGCTACGATTAATAGGCGCCGAGCAGACCACTAGGTCTGCTCGGCGACGACGGCGACGTTTTCTAGTGAAAACGCGCGGAAGTAGCTAGTCCTCTAATAAAAAAGTGTATTGAAAAAGTATAGTGATATATGTATGTACATACATAATATCAACATGAGAAGTAAAGACAAATATATTGTACTTCTAGACTTGAGAAAATAAGCGGTACGTTCAGTGAATTCCCAGCCATATTTGAGAATCTAAATAAATTTAAGAATGTCATTATAGATAACCATTCCAGTAAAGCTTTTTTATAAAATAAAAGATTACCTAGATGATAGTCGGACTTGGCAATGAGCTGCTGTAACGTCCACACAGGTCATGTTGACATGTTTGTAGCATATAGTTACATTTTTATACAATTTGACATCAATATACTTTGTCAATATTCGACATTATTTTTCATTATAATTATGGTTTAATGTTGGTGTAAGTTTAAATTTTCTTTAACAATAATTTTAAGTGAAAGGACCATGTGAGGCTTTGTCTAGTTAATTCAGTTTTACCTAATTAATTATTTTTGACAATTTGAGCATTTGAGCTGCCTACCCGAATGTTCTTTTGGTTGGTATTGTTCGTCGGGTCATTCAGCAACATCCGTCACTTGAGCTGATTGGAAACTGACACATGCGTGGTACCATCAGAACAGGACCGCTCAAACTGTTGTGGATCTTTCCTCAAAAGACTACTACACAATCAACTTGCACAGTTCTCGCACATTATAATCTGTCTGGACTTTAAAAGAGACCTCTCAGTTTGTTTCGGCGTTTCTTTTCAGAAAAGTCAGTTAGGAAATGCCGGCCCTTATCTAGTAGGTAATTTAAAGATTGACGTGTAAAATATTTTGTAACCTATTTGCAGTAGTAAATATCATTTTATGTCATTTCAATTATAATAATATTAATTAAACTATTGAATAATATATTCCATCCTAAACAGGCTGTAGTAGACAGTAGGCACGCGGTGGTGTGGTGTTCTTCAATTGAAAATAGTTTTAGTGCTACTATGTTTCGCCATATGGCATACAAATGTTACGATGGATATCATAAACCAAATTAAAATAACAAACCAAGTTATAAAAAAAAAAACGATAATAGTGGGCCTAATGTGAGATAAGAGAATGTAGATTCAGCAATCATTGTGCCGATCCTATCTACCAATACCATCATAGTGGTAAGCCTTAACCAGCTCCTTATTCAAGGACACGGACACAGTGCGTATTGTCCGAAAATTGCTCTCAGCCCTGACAACCGGCGGCTTGGAATCCTTCTGCTACTGGTAAGCCAATGCTTTTTACATTTTTATTTTTTTAATAAATTAGGATGTTCTCAGTTTGATCAGTATATACGTATATTTGTGTGCGATTGGATAAACCAATTTATATTATTGGTGCCTTCTTAAAGTAGGTACCTCACGGGACGTCGAAATGCACCTACGATATTTAACATAGCTCCATAGATTTTTGTCCCTGATGAGCGTATTGCTATAACAATAATTTCAGGCGACCGTGAAACACAGTAATAATAAATCATTATATCCGGTAGTGAATATTTCTAAATACCTAGGAATTGAACCCAGGCAATGTAGGTATGTGCATCAGTAACATAATGCAGCTAATACTAGGTAATAAAAAAACTAGCTGTTTCGGCTGTTCAGGCAAAGTTCGTACCGCCTCATATTATTTTATCACCTTTAAAGCCTTCCCTGGATTTTCACTAAGATTTCAAATCCAAAATTAGACGAATCGGTTGAGCCGTTCTCCAGTTTAGCGAGACTAATGAACGGAAACTCATTTTTATTTTTATAGATTAAATTATAGTTTTTACCTTGTAACACAGTGGTCATTTAAACATACTGCAATAATAATTGTCGAAAGTCGTACCTACCAGTAATAAACTTAAAATGTCGTTCATAGGTGATAGTTCGATCATCATGGAGGAAATACAGGGGCTACATGCAAAGGTTACCGGTAATTTTGAAAATTAGCAATTTTGTAGATTTTGATGTGCTCTTTCTGATTTCCATTTTGCACCTATAAAGCAAAGAGCATTACACATATGAAGGACTACACTATAATGAAAATGCGCCGCTTGCTTTACTTTCACGTGGTATAAAAATTATTTCCCCAAAATGCTCATAAAAATGTAGTTTGCGGTGCTCTGACGCCAAAACTACTTATGGATTGTAATTAGTTTAATTTTGTCTTTAACGTTGTGCTCGTAAAATGCAAATGAAAAGAGATAGTATGAAAGAGCGGCGCACGTACAAAGGCGCAAAATGGAAATCGGAAAGAGCACATCGGAAATCAACAAAATTGACAATTTTCAAAATTCCCGGTAATCTTTCCAGAAAGAACTACCTACTGAACTATAAATAGACATAATAAATACGTCCAAACAATTTAAGTTTCATTTAGTAAGTCAAAATCTTTGAAGCTAGTTCGTAGAGCGAAAAATTATAAAACTGCATCGCGATCTATTAGGATACGCCAATAAAATCAGCACTCATCCGGGGTTTGAATCCGAGGATCTTATAAGGCAGAAAACCGCCGTAAAACATCGCTTGCGTTGTAGAGGTATTTCGCCGTGTAGATTTATCTACTGAAGGAACTTAGTACTCCTCTGGCGATGCGGGTGTCTATACGTGACGTCAATTGCTTGCCATCAGGTGACATATTTGATCATTTGCCGATTTCATTCTCACATCGCTCACCTCACTTATTATACTTTACAAAAACTTATTAGTACCTAATAAGTTTTTGTAAAAAAAATTTTGCTACCCACACTCCGATTCTCTCCTGTATCGTGGGTGCGTTTACAAACATTACATGCACATGGCACCCAGACCCGGAAAAACAATCTGTTGATTACACAAAGAATTGTTCCGTGCGGGAATCGAACCCGCGACACGTTGCGCGGCAGCCAGTTGCCCAACCACTTCG